GTGATAGTCAAGATTCTAGAAGAAAGAGTAGTTCAATGGTTTCTCAATTTTGACTGCTTCAAACTCATATAGATATATTCAATGCCATAATGAATGTTCCCAACCCTTCAGTTTTGGTTTCATTTAAGTAATCTAAACACACTCAATGTGTTTTGAGAGAGCTCAAAATTCCCAAAGTCCCTTATCTAAGGCCTCAGCTGGCAAACATGAATTTGTGGTTTAGGTTATGTAAGTAGAAAATAAACCTGTAGGGTATATTTTTCTGCCCTAATTTCCATGTTGATATAGATTTAATCACTCTATCTATAAATATATATAAAGGCATTTATCATAGTCTTGTCATTAAGCAAATTTTTAAAAACTAAATTCAAATCACTACCCTAATCAAATAAAAAAATTAATAATGCAGGTAAATTATAGTTCAACTTTGTGCATTAAAAAATCAGGCTTTTGTAACGTTTAAAATAAGCCTTTTATTCCATTAAGGGCTGAATTGTGTCCGTTAAAAGTTCACATATTGAAGTATCTCCAAATATATTAGGGGACAGAGCCTTTAAGAGGAAAACGAGTTAAATGAGGTAATTAGCACAGGCCCTGATGCTATATGAGGCTGTAAGAAGACTGAATCAAGATACAGACAGGCACAAAGGGAAGGCCATGTGGAGACACAGGGAGAAGAGCTATCTACAAGCCAAGGGGAGAGGGGCTCAGAAAAAAAACAAAACAGCCCTCCCTGCACCACCTTGATCTTAGATTTCTAGTCTCCCCAACTGTGAGGGAATACATTTCTGTTGTTTAAGCCACGGGGTCTGAGGTAGTTTGTTATGGCAGCCCTAGAAAACTTATATAACTCCTTCCTCAAATGCACCTTTGTCCTCCAAGTTTATGATATCTAATGCCAATTTCAGTTTCATGGGAGATTGCCTGAAGGTCTTTGCAAAGCTTCTCTCCACACAGATTACATAAATAAGGTGCCAATATCTGAGTTATGGAATATTTTTTAAACACTGGAAATTACCATATTCTCATTTTTTGAAGACTGTTGCTTAAATACTAAGTATAGCATAGATTTTCATTTAGAAATTTTCTATGTACAAAAAAAACTTGTTACTGAAAATTTAACACAGCTGTCTATTTTTTTACAAAAACAACATTGCTAAGATGAATTAATCTGAAGATGACGCTTTAAATTTTTAAAACATTTTGCTGGGTACCAAAATCTAATATGTAGTAAAAGAACACCATTTGGAAATTCAAATTTAATAAAGTTACTTTTTTTCAGTACTACAGGATTACCATATAAAATTTGAGTCTTGATTTAAATTTTATCATATGTATTACAGTATTATGTTTAACTGCCTCACAAAGAATTGTTTAGGTAACTTGAAAATATAGTATGGAGATACAGATAGAAATATAATTGAAGGAGAATACTATGAAGATTTTTGATTTCATAAAATGTTTTCTTTATTGACTAACAAAAAAGACAAATAATTTAAATTAATAGATGCATTAAATATGTTCTAGAATTTTCAAGTTAGAAGGAAAAAAGTCACAGCAGCATTTTTTTTTCTTTTAGGGGTAATGCAGTTGAGAATCTCACAGGGCCAAATACATAGCAATCGCCCCACAGAGACTTCATTGCTTAATTTGTGTGTGTGTGTGTGTGTGTGTGTGTATGTATGGTTTTGGCTGGTGTCCCTCAGAAGAGGGCAGAAAAAGTTTTTAAACCAACCATCTCTTCTATTATGAAGAAAGTCAAATACGAATTTGGATTTAATATGCAAACATCCAAGAATTTTGTCCATGGAATAACTTCCAAAATTACAAAGTAAACTTGAAAGTGCCACCTTAAAAATATCTGCCAATAATATGGGATTATTATTAAACATTAGGAAACAAAGTATTCTTAAGAAAGGGTGCCTTATGAGGAAAGAGGGAAACTAAAGGATATTAATTATATCTAAAGATGCTCAAGCTCCATGTAAGAGTTGGCCACCACAATCCAAAGCACTTAGAAATTGTTTCCAAATGGAAATATTAAAAACAAAGGGAGGGAAAGGAAATAAACAAAAATAAAAACCTGGCCCTTAATCATGAACATCCTGCCAGTCATTACAAAAGGATTTATTTTATATCTACTGCAACTTAAGTTGAAAGTGCAACTCAACCCAGTTCTCTAGAAATTAATAATTTATAATGCAATCATTGAGAGCATGAGCCAGTCTTTCTGGGTTCAATTCCCATTTCTCCCATTTCCTAAGATGTGATCTAGGACAAGCTGCTTAACCATTATGCATCCTAGTTTCCCCTCTTAAATGGAGATAACCAGAATCATGTCAGTGGGTTGTCATATTAAAGGAAGTTTCTCCATATAAATCCTTAGTGAATGAAATAACGATGTGCCATATGGTTATTGGTGGTAGAGTAATTCAAACTAACCAAAATCAGAGCAGAGTGAGTATAAAGTGACTGGTGAGGCTGGATTGAGGAAAAAACAAAAACAAAAACAAAAAACAATAAAAAATGATGAAAATTCCAGACTAGGTGATTTCTAAACACATTCACAAATTTTGTTTACATACAATTTTTTGCATCAGCCTTTATGTTCCTGAATGTTCCTTAATGTTCCTGAAATTCACATCTGTTGATCTGAGCTGGGCTCATACACAGTATTGGACCAGACAATAAAGCAAACCATCTTTTAAGGTGTTGCCTGAAACAGCTGACCTTAGGGCCTATAGATGAAATAATAATCAGCACAGCTGATGGTTAAAGTAATGGTTAAATGACAAATTCACCAGCCCAGAACATTATGGGCAAATATTGTTGGCCAGCATACTGTGAACCACAGGGACTAGATTCTCAGTAGTGGTCTCTGTGACCACTCATCCAAAGATTCAGTAGTACAGTATGAAAGGCACTGGACACTCTGACTAGACCTTGACTCCAGCACACAGACTGTGCTCCTAACCACCCAACACACCAGGGGCCTGCCTCCACCAGCCCTTCCCCCTCCATCACTGACCCCACACCCCAGCTGAGACCCTGGCCAGCAGCTGATATTCTGCTACTTTCATTTATAGTACTGTGAAAGGTCTGGACCCATTTCAACAATGTTATCTGGCCCTGACTGCCCTCTTAAGAAAATATATCACATTTTCATTCCACTTCCCTATCACCTCCTATTCCCTGTTCTTCTGTCTCTTTGAGAAATTGTTTATCATGCAAATATAAATAGGGTTTTTTGACTAGTTGCAAAACTCTGGTGGTTAACAGTGCACATAGCATTTCTGATCCAATCTGTACTTATATACACCAGGATGTTCCTGAGAGATTTAGGCCAAAGTTGATTTCCCTCCCTGCTGTAAATGTGCTGAGTGTCCTTGGCCTATACTGGACATTCGATTTCTTCAGCATAAGTCCATTTTCTCAGCATTTCTCTTGGCCCTATCTAGCTCTTTACAGGCAGATAGAATAGCTTTGTGTATAGTCACTGTTTATTTCCTTGGTACATTTTCTATCTACTGCAGGTATGCTGCCAAATGTTTAAAAGCTTTCTACTTTGAAGCACAAGGCAATAGAAAAAGATGGCAGATACACAAAACAAGTAAAAGAGAAATACTTTTCTTAAACAAAAGCTGAATGTGGTTAAACTCAAACTGAGTTTTTGAATTATATCAAAGCCAGGATGCAAAACCACACTGACAAAAACACATAAAGCCCTGTAAGTAGCAAGTTAATGAATCAGAAGAGCAAAGCAACATGTGCCTAGAAAAAAGCACCCTGCAGTGTGGTCTCCACAGTATTAAACTGCAAGATAATACATTAAAGAAGTCCTATTATCTAAATTTTGCTTAACCTTTTTTTTAGTCAAAACTATTAATCCAATGTATTGTTCTCTTTTATTTAAGGAACATTTGAAATGATACTTTTAAGAACTATTTCATTCTCTCCTACATGCTGACGAGAAGTAAGAATATCACAGCAGTGGCTAAGTGGTACAAAAAATTATTCACTATTAAGAACAAGATCTTCTGTATCAGCAATAAATCAACTTGAAGGTAGTGTCAGAATTATGATTCCCTAATTGGAAGAAGCTCAACATCTTCAAATAATTTTGTTGCTGAAAAATCATCCTCCCAACTGACAAACTAATATATATTAGTCTCAGACACAAGTCCATGTCCAGTTCTAAAGATCTCTATACACTGCTTGTTTTATGTTTCTGAAACATTTTACTGTCAGTGATTTATTTCAGGTCCATGTGGCCAGCCATTTGTTTATTCTATTGCATACCATCTGTTTTTCAGTAGAGAGGTTTCAAGTTCTTCTCATTCCGTACCTCATATCCCACAGAAAACAATTTATGATAGACATAGATTTAAATCATTTGGATTCACGTTCAGTTGGAAACTCGAGCTGCCCTTCCTTTATATTTGGCAAATGCTTTAATGGGATTAGCAAATTGTGTTATTATGAGGTACTTATAGAGAGAAGACACCTTTTTTTACAATGACAAATGATGTTAACAGTTTCATTTTGGGTGTTTAATAGCAGTACAGAAGATTTCTCTAATGTTACAGGAAATTGCTGTGATAGACCATAAAGTCTTATTGCAAACACTGTTCATATCTTTTATTTCTGAGAGTCAACGGATATGTGTATCAGGATATAGCAGGGTCTACAGTGGGGAATAAAGAACAAGTTGCTTCACTTTTAAGGGGACATGACCCTTTGGGCCCATGGGCCTAAAAACCACCTGGTTCTTATGTGTTCGTCTCATTTCCTAAACCCTGCATTCGTGGCTTTGTTTTTCTAGATGCTTCTGAGAGAAGGCCATCCCCAGATTTCCCCACAGAAAAGTGTGTGTACAGACTCCAGCTCGTCATCACCAATTGACCCCCATATTAGGGCTCACTTTGATTCAATCTACAGAAGAGCCAATCATTCAGAGAATACAATTTCTTTTTGAAACTACACAGGCGATGTGTAAGGTGTTAATTACCATATTTACAAGAATCCTTGCTGCTTTCATGGAGAGGAGGTATCTGATGATAGGGCCCAACAGCTGTCCACAGTTCATGGTTGACGTCTGAAGGCTGAGAAACTTCCGTCTTGAGGTTTACTTGATTTTCACTAGTCCTCACCAAATCAGAATTAGCTATATTTGGGGGGTAAGTGGCATCCTCATGGATGCCTGATGGACTCGGTTTACTGAAAGTGTTAAGTGACATTTGTACTAAAGCTTCATGTGTGAGGAGTGAATTTTCATGACACAAACCCTCAGATCGATTAAATTCCATTACCTGTGTAAAGAAATACAGAAAAAGTACAATAATTTATCCAGCAACTTAAACAAATGTAGTAACGTGTTTATTTCTACTAGAATCTCACAATCAAGACCTCAATAAGAGTGACATCAATAAGAATATCACCATTTACTCTTTCTTCTCATTCCATTTAAATGAGCTAGAACCAAAGCTTTCAATTCACTATGTACAATGTCTTTTATAACAAAGCTGAAGTGTCTTAGACTATTAAAGAGTTTCTACTTTATTTTAATCAAAGAGAGAACATTTTAATTTTTACTAAATAAAAATTGAAAACATATCCATATATACGTAAGGAATTTGCAATAAATGTAATTTAGCAAACTTGAAAGAAAAATCAGATGCAACACAGTTCTTTCTTATATACTCATTAGCTTTTACAACTTCATGCATTATCAATAAAAAGCATACATGCAACACATATAGCACAGAAAACTAAACTCCTGGGATAATGGAATTGCCAAGCCTTGTCAGAGAGGATGAGAAGAAAACACATAATCTGCTGAGAAAGATTTCATCCTACTCAGACACATCCCAGGTCATTAATTAGCATTGACGCAAGATAGAAAAGATAGGTAGAAAGGAAACAAAAGGGTGAGGAAAAGAAACTGTATCTTTAACTCCAGAGCCTATGGGAAAGCTCCTCTCACCTTTTATCCCCAGGCCAGTTTCTCCTCCACACCTGGAGCAAACTGAATCCAGCAAAATAGAAAATGAATAATTACTGACAAATGTATGAATCGTAGAATTATTATAAATTCACTCATCTATGAAAATTGCCTCATTTTGATTAAGCTCAAGTGCATTATTAGCTTACACAATGTATTTTCAGACTAAACAAAGGGAGATGTAATATTTTTAGAAACCTATAATCTAGGATACATTCCCAATGTTACCTACCGATCAGATAGAGGAGACAACATGGAACTAAGGGCCTGAGAAAGGCCAGGCTCCCATAAATGGCCTCACAATCACCAGGCTGAGGCCATTCCCAATTACATTTCCATGCCCATCTGAGACCCCAAAGCTGCTTCTTACACTCAACAGCACTGCTCTGAAAACACATCTGCACTTTCACTTTCTTTTGGCTTTTGCTTTTCACTTTCTAAGGAAGCACTCCCTCTTTGCTAAAACCTGATTCATTCTTAAATTATTTTCTGTGATAGGTCAAGAGCCTGGAAAGTAGAGTAGAGGTATCATCTTTCTTTGGACAGATCTCTTTGAGTCCTATTATGGTGACAGTGCAAATCATGTTAACTATTATTAGTGATATGGATTTGGAATTTAATCTATCCAATTCACAAAGAGAGAATAAGCTTAGCATAACAGAATAGTGTTTTATTTGCATATAATATATATTCATACCTAACTGGTGCATGAATCATAGATAATAGAATATTCTTATTATATCCTATAAGAATAGATTATATAAACAGGGTCCTTAAAATACTGGAAAAATGGCATGCTCACAGTGAACATGCTTCTAAGGCAAACCTGCCCTCACCTCACTGGGTCAATCTGATTCTATGTTCCTTCCTCAGGGAAAGGTGTCTCTGAATACAATGATCCAATAGAACCTTGGTCTTTAAAATTTCCATGTTTTAAGTCAAGACACAAGCATTGCTTCTGAAAGCTCCTAGCTTTTATTATATACTAATTTGAGACGCTTTTGTGAGCTCTTACACAACAATGAGTAACACCAGTGTGTGTATAGCATCCTGGGAGGACTGAGCTTGCCTTTGAAAGCTGCTTCGACACCCTGGAAGAGCCATACCTCCTTGCTTCCTGGTGGAAAGGCTGCTGGGAGTCTACTCTGCCGGCTGTGCTTCCTGGGACACTGCAGGCCCTGTTGGGTGCCCATGCTCTCTCTCTCTCTCCCTCTCCACCACCCTCTGGCCCTCACTCAGCCACTCCAGGTTTTGCTGGTACTCCTGGAGCTGATGGTCCAGCTCACTGCAGTTCTTCAGCAGAAGCTCCTCCTGTGTCTGGCACTCCCATTCCTGCGCCTGCAGCCAGCTCTCCTTAGCCTCTTGCTCCCGCTGCTGCTGGTCACACCTGCGGTGCCAGCGCTGCTGTTCCTGCTGGAACTGGTGTTGGAGCTTATGGATGTTAGCCAGCTCCTCACACTGCTTCTCCAGGTTGCGGGACTTTTCCTGGTCTTGGAAGGAGCCGCCTCACAAAGAGCGGCTGGGAGCCAGGCTCTCCTGCTGGAGAACCAGCTTGTGGATCTCAATGTGGCTATCCTGAATGGTCAAGGAGGCCTATAGGGCAGCAGAGGACAAATGAATAAACAAGCTTGTGTATTGTTTGCCTCTTGGGTTGGAAACATCCCTGAACACAAAATGTATAATCAAACTATTTCTTTTAATATTCTGTCATTTTTCCAAATCACATGTAAAGACAGACTTTGGCATTTCAAATAGGTTTATCTTTAGTTCTTAATGACATTATCTGGGAAATTACAGAGAGAAGAAATCATGCACAGAATCAATATCATTTTTCCTTAGTGTCTGAGGGGATTGGTTCCAGGACTCCCTTAGTGTTTGCACATAACCTACACACATCCTCCTGCATACTTTGAATCATCTTTAGATGACTCATAATTCCTAATACAATGCCCACACATCACTTCATGTGCACAAAGCCAGTGTAATACTCAGCAAGATGCAAACTCAAGTTTTGCTTTTTGGAACTTTATGAATTTTTTTCCCTACATTTTCTATCCAATGTTGTTTGAATGAAAGGATGCATAAAATGTGGTTACAGAAGGTTCATTTTACTCAATCCCTTTTCTGGAAATGTCATTGATTGCCAGCTATTGGATAATATTTAAGTAAGTCTACTTAATAATAATATAGTACATAAACTCATAAGACTCTACATTCTCATTCTAGACCTCATTCTCTTTCTGAGTTCTCCCTATTAATAAATTAATAGTCACATTAATTTTAAAATCTATGTAAACCTAGTAATATTTTTTATTTGAATCCCAAACCAGAAATTACTTGAGTCACATAGGTTGCTTTCATAAAGACATAAAATTAAAAGTTAACTATTTGGAGAGATTTGATAAATATCTCTTTATAGCATAATGTTTAAGGATAGCAGTTAATGCTATTTTCAGGATATATGTAAGTGGCTGAATAGTCTGCTTACTGTTATGTCTTTGCATTTTCACAGGAAGGTCATGCATAAAACACTAAGCTGAAATTCATTTGTTTAATAGATTGCTAACAGGAGGCTGGAATGATTAAAATAGATACTCTAAATCCCAGAGGACTTACCAAACATATTTTAAAAAAACATTTTGAGTTATGGTATCTGCCTATGAAAAGTTTGGCAACATCACAGAAAATAATTGCCAAGATTTGGATAGATACCACTAAGCCAAAAAATTCTCTGTGAATGTCCTTGGAAGCTTTTCATTTTGAAAGTTCCCATTTAAAGTGCAAAGATGTACAGAAGGGGCAGATTGAAAATGGACACATACTGGGTATCTGGGTATGTGTGTATTTTGACTTATATGAGAAATCATTACTCTCTTAGGAATAAATTCACATTTTTCCTTTCTAAGAATTTTTTAAACAGTCCATATAACATATGCTGAGAAGATGGGGGTTTGAATATTATTAGTTCTTTGTTCAGCAGTTTTCTATACTTTTGAAAGTTAGAGAACTAAAATATATTTTAAATGTGTACCTGTTTTAGAGTAAGACTCAAAAAGACATTAATGGGGCCTTTTGAAATGAAATTCATATTTTTAGATTTGAGAATTATTTTTAAAATTTCAGGCTCCCTTGAATATTTGGTTAATGACCTTTAAGAGCTGTTAGAGAACAATGATTATCATTGAGAATAGATGATATTTAAAATGCTCTTTAAATATGAAATAATTAGCACATAATAAACCACTCAGGACTCGCTGACCTGGCAGAACATGGGCAATGATAACTCTCAGGTAAGGATTACCATTAGAATAATTCAGCATGACTATGAAGACTTCTTTTGTCTACTTATCATTTGGGATAAGACTATTTTCTTCCCTTACACAGAGGTGGGATTCAAAGATTGGATATTCATTTCCCAAATTAAAGTTTGCACTTATTTTTAGGAGAGAACAGCACTTTTTTAGGAATCCACAATTCATTCTCTCTTCACTTATTTTGCCAGAATATCTGTGCCTTTTCCTTTTTTCACTCATTCTACCTATTTTCTGACCCTATTCTCAAATGATAAAATTTCATTTTCATCTCATTCAGACACGCTTATGTAAAAACGTTAAGCATGGATAAGAAATTCAGCTTCTAAAGAGATGACTGTACCATGAACGAAAATCTTTCAGAGACCATATCCTTATTTTTATTTATTTATTTATTTATTTATTTATTTATTATTAGTTGTTCAAAACATTACATAGCTCTTGGCATATCATATTTCATACATTTGATTCAAGTGGGTTATGAACTCCCATTTTCCCCCCGTATACAGATTGCAGAATCGGTAGGGAAAGGGAGAGAGAAGGGAAATTGCATGGAAATGGAAGGAGACCATATCTTTAGAGCAGCCAAAAAGTTTTAGCCTGGTTGAAAAAGTCTACTGTAGACTTTGGTGTTTCCCAAGTGGCTTCAACCTAATGCATTGAAAAAAATGAGGTCATTTAGGTCACAGGGCATTTTGAAACTTGAATCCACTTGGCTGCATTCAGAGTTGAATAGAAGAGAGATGAACTTGTATTTTACCAGGTAACACAACCCAGGATGCTCAAGGTTTTTTTATTCCTTAGTTGACATTTAAAAGAAAGCATATTTTTAAACATATTTGTTTTACATGATAAATTCATCTCTAAGAACACCTATTCCAGATCAGCATCTCTGATGTAAGGCACTAAAGGCAATTCCACAAACTGTGAATAAGGAACTTACTATCACCACTGTTAATTAACAGGCTTTCAGAAGTTTCATCTGAAGCAATAAATCAAGAAAATGAAATTGATAGGACTATTAAAGAACAGTTAAATAACTAATATTTTCAAATTTTTATTTTCTACCTGGGATATACTTTAAAGAATCAAAGGGAAAGCTATTAAAATAAAAAAGTTAATTGAGTATACCAGTTAAAAAATAAATACATAAATATCAATACCTTTACTTACAACCATTAGGGAAACATATATATAGTGCCTATATGAAGATATTCTAAATCTTTCTAACAGAACATAAAATAAGAGATAACTGGCCCATGTTCTTAGACAAGAGGACCGGTTATGGCAGAAGTTCCAATTCTCTCCAATTTAATTCATAAATAAAATAAAATTTTGATTTTGTGGCCTTGGTAGGAAATAATTGACAGAGTGATTCAAAAGTTCTGGTAAAAGTATATGTAAATATATGGAAAAATAAGAGGAGACTAGCACTGTCATATATTCAAATGTAATCCAAAGTTTATTCATTAATCAATGTGATAATAATGAAGTCTTGATGTAATTGGGTTGAAGTATAAATAAGGACACAGCAAATGCAGTATGATTTAACATTTTTTGGTGACAAATTAGACTTAAACTTCTTTTAAGATTCAAAAGGTATACAAATATGAAATATGAATGAATAATAAACCAGGAAGGGTTAAGAAGTTTAGTCTCACTAGTAATCACAGAAATGCAAATTAAAATAATCAGATTCTTGACCCATTTTCAAATTGAAGAGAAAAAGACAGAAAGAAAGAGAAAGAAAAAGAAAATAGTTCTAGTAATTTATCCTGAAGAAACTGGATAAATTATGGCTACAGAGATCAGCATACAAGGATGTCCACATTTTGTGCTATTAATAGTACAAAAGTGTAGTTAATCAGTGATTGCATAAATTTCATAGACTTGAATATTACATATTCATTGAAAATCATGCTACTGCAGAATAGAGGATGGCACAGACAGGTGTTGCTAACATATATACACAAAACAATCCAGAATCTGGAGGGATGTGCACCAGATGATGGTGGTGATTCCTCTCCACAGACTCACAAGCCATTTCTTTTATCTATTTGTATTTCCAAATTTCTTCAAATCCTTTTTACTAGATAAACATTGATTTTATAGCATTACAATTTTTTAATCAGTAAATTAAGCAACTGGGTGCCCTGACCCTCTTTTTTTGTGCATGACCTGAGGGATCCCTCAGCACTCTAATCCTCAATTCAAACATATTTTTATGCTTATTTTTCCTTATAAGACCTTTGAGAATAGGTCTTGTGGTCCTTTTGCTTTTGTGGACTTAACCCTCAGCACAGTGTCCAGCACAGACAGAGGGGGTATTCAAAAAATGTTAAGCAATGGGGAAAGGAAAAAAAAAAAAAAGAGTGGATGGATTATTTAACTGCTCCTAAATGCTCCTAAGGCCACATGTGGAAGTGAAAAAGTTTAGGTGTGAATTTAAGTTTTCACCAGAAAATGTGAAGTCATGCTACACTCACCTAAGAGCTTCATTGTAAATGTAAAGCCAGAACATATTCATCACTATTTTCTAAAGATATGAACTGTTTTATGGTTTCAGAGAAGAATGGTATAAAATGTAGTAGTGGTGTTGCCTCATGATTACAAAACCAGGTGAAGTTCAGCTCATCTGGCTGGCTTACTCTTAGGGGGTTGGTATTCTTCTGAGATCACTTACTACCTCTCAAGATATTCTAATTTCTAAAGTCTGGGAATCATCAAAGTGAGTTGCATTAAGAGAAACATTCACAAGGTCAAAGATTAGCAGAAGGTCGTTACCTGAAGGTTATATAAAAGACAGGTTAAATTCTGTATAGCTTGTACAATCTGAAAAATAAGATGGTATATATCAAATTCTTGAAAATCTTTCATTAGCTACAAATCAAAAAAGCATAGTCATATATTTAAAGCATACATAGCTTACCTCTGACTGTGAAGATTCTGAAAAACATCTATATTTCATCTACAAAACATAAAAACATAAGAAAATGAATAGCCACTCTACCTTTTGAAAAAGCTGTTCTAAAATGCATGACCTGCATCCTCTCTAAACTCAGTTACCTCATCTATAGTGACTCTGAATCCTCCTAGGAAGAAAAACCTACAGGAACCCCCACTTGAAAGCAAGAGCCTCCCTCATGCAAACTTGGTGTTAGGGATGCATGGCAAGTTTTACCAAGCCAGGTCTTAAAACAAGGGAGGACTGAGAGGAAGCCTTGCAAGGGACACATATTTACTGCATGCAGACCGCACTATAAACTGAGCACTCTGTGCCCAGGTTGAAGTTGTCTCCTGAGTCACACTGACCCCTTACATCCTAGAGGCCAGATTTAGAAGACAGAGAACATTATATCAGGCCTCCAGCTCCCTGCCTCACTGGCTAAAATAGTCCCTGGTTGGGATAAGAAAACTGGTCTCCCCCAGAGCCTGCCTCAATTAGACTTCACTGGGCCAGTGCAAAGACTATAAATGAGGTCACAGGAGACATCTGTTCCTTGGGAAGTGGGTCTATGCTTCATTCTTTGTCCTGCCCACAGCACACATTAACGGAACATGTGGATACTAAGGGTTTCCAGTTTCCGGAATTGAATTAAACTTTTGCTTATTCATCTATTGTCTATCTTTCAAATTGTACGTAAACCAGTGAGAAGCAGGACTTTGCATATTCAATATTATATCTGCAAACCTAAGAATGATGTCTGGCATGCAACAAACACTTGAATTTGATTGCACTCCACTCAATAAGTACTGATCACCCACTATCGACTCTATGCTTTATCCTATGGGAGATCATTTGACTCCCTGATCTCCAAGAGCCTATAGTTTCCAGTATGCTGCTTGTTTTCATCTGAGAAGATCTAATTTTAAGTGTAAAAAACAGTCAGCCATGGTAATGTTCTCAGGTAACTTTCAGCTTGTTGTTAAATGCAATCAGTTCAGGTTGATGATGAGCTAACCAGATCTTCTCTTCCCCCATATGGCAAATTAAAAATTTCATTACTAAGAAGACCCTCCAATAGAGAAAAGACAAAGTCTGAATAAAGGAGATGAGATTTAAAAAGCATTAGATCTGTGATCAACCCTATGGAAGATAACAAGGACTAAGTATCCCCATTCTTTAGTGAGTTTTGGAGTTTTTGCTTTTCTAATGCTTCTGTCCTTGCCCATCCAAATTTTATTATTTTTGTAGCAAGAAATCCAATGGTATAGAATTTTTATACTCTAAAAATTAAACACATAGAAATGAGTTGCCTTGTGCTACCCAAGAACTACCATTACTAGTGAGAAAGGAAATTGCACATTATCCTTTTAATGGAGTTGGTCTGCCACCTTGTGGTTCAAGAGCATAACTGCAATTGGTGGTTAACAGGATTTCTGCCATTGGGTTTTTGGAAGTGGGTGGTGGTGTTTTGTTTTTTTAATTCTTTCAGTAATATGTTTTAACCTTACCTTATTAAGTGAGATAATTGGAAACTATCCATTATACAATTTTTAAGAGTGTGATTTCAAGTGGTACCTCAGCTTAGTTCCTCAAAATGCCTTATTAAGTGCCAAATTTTCTAGATAGGTTAATACAAAGAGGAACCTGGACACTTAATCTCGATTATCCTCCTGTGACTAAATCATGAGTGGGAGCTGCTGCGATGGCTTTCCATTCAAGATTAAACTATCACTGACCAACTCTTCCTACCTCCCTCCCTCTTTCCTTCCTTCCTGATAACATGAAAACAGTTAAAAGCTACAAAACAGATTTAAAAGTGAAGTCTGTACTGAGAAGGATGAAAAGCAGAAACATTTTAAGACACATAAGTTAGAAAGTTTACAATCAGAAAAAAAAAAAAAATTAATATATATATATATATATATATATATATAT